ATATTACTATTGCTTTCTATTTTGATTTTTTATTCATACGAAAAAATACAAAATTTGCTGTTATGCAGACTAATGCATTATGATATAAATAATATCAGTGCACTAGTGAAAGAATTAGACTCCCCAGTTGACGTGTATTGGACATGTGGTGTAATTTGCTTACTCCTGAACATTGGTAAAAATCGAACATTTCTGCTACTTTGAGCTCAGTTTCAAGGTCGTTTTCATCATGAAAGTAATGAAAATCATCTCTATTTCTCTAATGTGTTTTCCATTTTATCACCTGAGACCATGAAAACGAGAATACAACGATAAATACTGTATGAAAATACACCTCAAAGTCGGCGTTTTAGTCCAAAAAAAAGCGGTCAGTTTTTTTTTTTTTTCTCTCATTACGCACTGCGTGCTGCAGGATTTTTTTAATGTGGTGCACACTGACCACACAGACCCATTCTCTCACATGTGGGCCTACCAGCTTTCTCCTGCTTGATTTGAAGCCGCTAGAATTTACGCGTATAAATACGTCAGAAACAGTGGCACGTAAGACGTATATATACGACGTAAACAGTCAAAGGGTTAAACCCAACAACAACACTTACACCATTTACTCCTCTCATACATTATGACACATTTTATTCATTCTAGCGTATATATCATGCTTCTGTGTTATTAATATTGTTTATAATGTCATATTAGATAAATTGCGATAGATAAATAAGCCGTAGAGATGATATTAGCGTCATATTGAAGCATAATAAACTCGCCTTCCTCTTGCCTCCTACCTACCTCCTACACCAGCAAGAATCAATAAAGGTTAAGTGTGATGTTAAATGTTCATTTATCCATTTTATTAGTGCTTTATATTTATTTGTCATTGTTTTCTGTATGTAAATCTATATGTAATCTTTAAAAAAAATTATTTTTTGTTAATACTTTTGGCTGTCTGAAACAATTTAATTGGGTTTCCATTATTTATGTGGAAAATAGATTCGCCAATTGTGAATTTCACCAGTCGGCAGACTCTCTGGAATGGATTAATCATAAAACTCGGGGGGGTCCACTGCATATGCTTCGAGCTCATGTTATTCATAGCTGCTGTAAAGTTGTTAACAACTGTCTCTTTATGTAGTCTGAAGGTAACTTTAGTAATGTCTTGTGGCAATTTTCCTAAATTAGTTATGAGAAAGGTTGGGTAGTGGTCTGTAGTGTTGTGATTATGCCTGATTTTAAAGGGGATATGGTGTTAGTCCAGATGTGGTCTGTTAAGGAGATACTTGTCTCGGTGATTCTTTTAGGTTTAGATATTGTTGGTAGCAACAGGCAGTTGCTCAGTGTTTGTGAATTCGGTTACTTGTGGGTCCTGGTCATGTAGCAAGTCTGTTGAAATATCCTGTTAGTAGCAGGTGGTGTTTGTTCATAATAAGTTCCCTTGAAGCATGAAAAACAAAGTCCACCCCTGACAGTGACATGATAAGATGAGATAACATTTGATAGAGCTGACGTTTGATGAGCATACGCGAGGGTGCAGTGATAACATTTGATAAGATAAGATTAGAGGTGACATTTGATGAGCATCAGCCCTCGCTTTGTTTTTGCTGGTACACAAACATCATAAGAAATAATGTAAATACAATTAATCCATTCCTGACACCCAGAAGTATTAAAACAAAATTTTTTACATGAAATATACATGTAGTACATAAACAATACAATGGGAAATGATGAATGAAACATTAACAGTATAACACTTGCTTTTATTGGAGATTCTTCTTAGTGTATGGGAGGAGGAGAGAGATTGGATTGTTTATAGTTTGGAAGGGGAATCCCCTTCCATCAACACCTCAGGTACCATTTGCTTTTCTGGGGTTGCTTCTCTTCTCTGTTTCTTAATGCCACTAGGACCATCTTGAGAGTCACTGGAGTCCTGTCTCGCAAAATAACTGTGGAGAGAGCTCTGTTTCTGGCGTCTCTTTAACACTTCCCTCAAATGGCCCAAGACTTTGTCACTGTACATGTTGCCAACATGGCGTGCAACAACCTTGTCAGGGTGATGTTTCTCCATAAAGCTTTCCATCTTACCCCACATACCAAAAATCTCTTTAATTTCTGAAGGAGGCACCTTCTGCCATCTCTCTCCCTCCTTTGCAGCAAGATTGTGAGCTGCGATCTGTTGCTGTTCCTGCTGAAGCTCTTGCAGCTCCTCAGTGGTGAGCTCTTCATTGTGGTCTTCCACCAATTCTTCCACATCCTCCAAACTCGCATCCAACCCCATGGAACTCCCGAGTGCCACAATTGATTTAACAACAGACATAGGCTCATCAGGGTCAGCCCCAAACCCTTCAAAATCCCTCTTGCCGACACAATCTGGCCACAATTTTCTCCAAGCAGAGTTCAAAGTCCTGGTAGTCACTCCCTCCCAAGCCATACCTATAAGGGTTATGCAATGGAGGATGCTGAAGTGTTCTCTCCAAAATTCCCTTAGGGTCAAGTGAGTGTCTGTGGTCACAGTCAAGCACCTGTGAAACATTGCTTTGGTGTAGTTTTTTTTAAAGTTTGCAATGACCTGCTGGTCTATGGGCTGGAGGAGAGGAGTGGTATTCGGGGGCAAGAACTTTACTGTGATGAACCCAAACTCCTCGAAAATTAGGTCATCCAAGTTTGGAGGATGAGCAGATGCATTATCCATTACTAGCAGGCACTTGAGATCCAATTTCTTTTCCAGGAGGTAATTCTTCACACTAGGGCCAAACACTTCTTTGAACCACTCGACGAAAATTTCCCTCGTGACCCATGCCTTACTATTAGATTTCCAAAACACACACAATTTACTCTTCATAACATTGTTTTTCCTGAACACACTGGGATTTTCAGAATGGTACACTAGTAATGACTTCACTTTGAAATCTCCACTAGCATTAGCACAGAACATTAGCGTCAGCCTGTCTTTCATAGGCTTGTGTCCTGGCATTGCCTTTTCCTCCTGTGTAATGAAGGTCCTTGTTACGACTTAATCTTCACCGTAACAATAGGGGCACAAATAACTCCATTTTTTTTTTTTTTGTTGTTAGTTTTATTTTATTACCAATCATTTAGTTTCATTGGTATTTGGTTAGTGAATTAAAATAACCACAAGCAATTATAAATGAAATACTATACAGCAAGAAACCCAATCTTACGTGCAAATTCTCATTAACAGAGTATGATACAATAATTTCAATTAATAATCTACTAATCTCACCATTTAACTCTTTTTAGAAAGGTCTAGGGTAACGAAATAGTTATCTTTCATAAGTGACATGAATTACCAGACTTCAGGAAACTAATGGCAAAGGCAAGACAATAGACTTGGTATAAAGTTTTAGTTTAAGCTAGGAGCTTTGGGTTGAAGACCCGTACCGAGTCAGAGCTAGGAGCTGACTGACTCACTCTACTCCATAGTATGACTTCAGCTCGGCCAGAAGGCGACGCGTGGCGTCAATTCTAGAACCACCAATTGGTCACTACAGTAGTGGTTACACATTCGTAATACCTAACCTAATAATAATATAATATAATATTATAATTATAATAATCATGGGGAAAGATATAATATAATGCAATATAATACAATGAGAGTACTGTTGATGATTCATACCGTACCCGATAATAATATATAGTCGAACCTGCTTTATCTAGCTAGTAATAAAGTGGTTCGCGATATATTATTACAGAACTTATTTTAACCAGGCCTTTTATTTTTGTATATAATGGAATGAAGTAGGAGCGCGTAACACCTCCCCCCTCGCGACTGACGGTCGCCATTGACTTGTACTCTCTGTGGTGGGTAGCATCTGTCATAGTAGCAGAGGTTGTAACATAGACAGCAGTCCTTCATCATCTCCAGCTTTCTCCACAACATAGATGGTCATAAAAGTACCGACTCATACTGTTGAAATAAAGGTATATTAATAAAAATTTCAAGGCCTAGAGAGGGCATCAGCAATGAGATTATGTTTTCCTTTTATATGGGAAATAGAGATAGAGAAGGGTTGAATTCTCAAAGCCCAACGAAGTATTCTCGCATTCTTCGATTTCATAGTATTTATGAAGGTCAAAGGATTGTGATCGGAGTACACCGATATCTGATGGGTAGAAGATCCTAAATTTTATTTATTTTATTATCACACTGGCCGATTCCCACCAAGGCAGGGTGGCCCGAAAAAGAAAAACTTTCACCATCATTCACTCCATCACTGTCTTGCCAGAAGGGTGCTTTACACTACAGTTTTTAAACTGCAACATTAACACCCCTCCTTCAGAGTGCAGGCACTGTACTTCCCATCTCCAGGACTCAAGTCCGGCCTGCCGGTTTCCCTGAATCCCTTCATAAATGTTACTTTGCTCACACTCCAACAGCACGTCAAGTATTAAAAACCATTTGTCTCCATTCACTCCTATCAAACACGCTCACGCATGCCTGCTGGAAGTCCAAGCCCTCGCACACAAAACCTCCTTTACCCCTCCCTCCAACCTTCCTAGGCCGACCCCTACCCCGCCTTCCTTCCACTACAGACTGATACACTCTTGAAGTCATTCTGTTTCGCTCCATTCTCTCTACATGTCCGAACCACCTCAACAACCCTTCCTCAGCCCTCTGGACAACAGTTTTGGTAATCCCGCACCTCCTCCTAACTTCCAAACTACGAATTCTCTGCATTATATTCACACCACACATTGCCCTCAGACACGACATCTCCACTGCCTCCAGCCTTCTCCTCGCTGCAACATTCATCACCCACGCTTCACACCCATATAAGAGCGTTGGTAAAACTATACTCTCATACATTCCCCTCTTTGCCTCCAAGGACAAAGTTCTTTGTCTCCACAGACTCCTAAGTGCACCACTCACTCTTTTTCCCTCATCAATTCTATGATTCACCTCATCTTTCATAGACCCATCCGCTGACACGTCCACTCCCAAATATCTGAATACGTTCACCTCCTCCATACTCTCTCCTCCAATCTGATATTCAATCTTTCATCACCTAATCTTTTTGTTATCCTCATAACCTTACTCTTTCCTGTATTCACCTTTAATTTTCTTCTTTTGCACACCCTACCAAATTCATCCACCAATCTCTGCAACTTCTCTTCAGAATCTCCCAAGAGCACAGTGTCATCAGCAAAGAGCAGCTGTGACAACTCCCACTTTGTGTGTGATTCTTTATCTTTTAACTCCACGCCTCTTGCCAAGACCCTCGCATTTACTTCTCTTACAACCCCATCTATAAATAGATCCTAAATATACATCAAAATTCTCTAGGCATACAACGAGAGCAAAGGCTTCTTTTTCTATAGTTGAATAATTAATTTGGTGTTTCTTTAACTTAGAAGAAAAATAAGAAATAGGTTGTAATAGGTCAGAATTTGGAGCCTTCTGTAACAATGCGGCTCCCAAAGCATACGCACTGGCATCTATTTTTAAGTGGAATGGTTTATTAAAATCAGGACTTAGCAATACTGGGGAAGAGGATAGTAATCTTTTTAAACGATTAAAAGCAATTTCACAGTCCTGGGTCCATGAAAACTGTTTTTGGACTTGTTAATTCAGTTAGGGGAAAAGCTACCTGTGCAAAATTCGGACAGAACCAACGGTAGTAACCGGCAACTCCTAAAAATCTTGATACGCTTTTCCTATCCTTAGGGGTAGGAAATTCTAAGAGGGCCTTTACTTTGGCGTTCAAAGGAGCGACTTCACCTTGTCCAATCCGAAATCTTAAGTATTTAATTTTCGTCTGGCCAAACTCACACTTGGACAAATTCACTGTAAAATTATGTTTACTTAAGGCGTCAAACAAGGCTTTAAGCTGTCTAAGGTGTTGGGGCCAACTGTCGCTGTATACGACTAAGTAGTCTAAGTAAGCTTCTACTCCATCCAATCCGCCCGTAAGTATGTTCATAATACGCTGGAACGTAGAAGCCGCGTTACAGAAGCCAAAGGGCATAATGCAATACTTGTATAATCCACCAGGTATCGTAAAAGCCGATATCTCTTGAGCTCTTGGTGACAACGGGACTTGGTAATACCCTCTTAACAAGTCCAATTTACTGATATACTTAGCTCTGGAGACCTTATCTATTAAGTCGTCAATTCTGGGTATTGGAAACCCATCAGGTACTGTTACAGCATTGACTTTTCTAAAATCCGTGCACATACGGGAGGTCCCATCTGGTTTGGGGACTAGAATGCACGGGGATGCCCAAGGACTGTTACTTGGTTTTATCAACCCATGTGAGAGTAAGAAGTTCACCTCTGCCTCTAGCTCACCTTGTTTCTTGGGACTCACTCTGTAGGGAGATTGCTTGATTGGAGTAGGTTCTCTGAGAGTAACATCGTGCACACCCAACGTACACGGTTTTGGGACGTCGTTGAATAGGTGGAGATTTGCCTTAATCAGGGATTTTATTTTGTGTCTTTTGTCCACTTCCAGATTTATCAGTAGAGAATTTAAATTCTTTAAGGCTGTCGAATTGTTCAGAAGAATTGGTATTCCTATCATTTCATCCGAACTTACTGGAGCCCATTCTTGGTTCAGAGGAGTTATAGTAGAAACTGGTGAAACGATTCCTGAATAGGGTTTAAGTTGGTTAACGTGATACGTCCGTTGTGAGTTCCTCTTCTTCGGCGTCCTTACCAAGTAGTTCACGTCACTTAGGCGCTTCATGATTTCTAAAGGACCTTCAAATTTGGGCTGTAGAGCATGTCCCTGATGAAATCGTTGAACCAGAACTTGATCTTTTGGTTCAAATGAACGAAGTTTAGTTCAACGATCGTATTCCTCCTTCATCTTACTCTGTGCTTGTCGTAAGTTTTCGGCGGCCAATTCTCTAGCTAGGCTCAGGCGTTCTTTCATTAAGGTAGGAGAGCTCCTAAAAGTCGGCGTTTCTTGCCCGGTCCAAGCTTCTTTGAGAACCTGTACTGGTCCTCTAATTTGATGCCCATATATTAACTCAAATGGCGAAAACTTCAAGTTGTCTTGTTTGCTTTCTCTTAGGGCAAACAAGAGTAGTGGAATACCTTCATCCCAATCTTTGGAATACTGTAAACAATAGGACCTCATCATAATCTTCAAAGTTTGATGGAACCTTTCCACCACGCCTTGTGATTGGGGTCGATAAGCCGTCGCGTAAACCATCTTGACTCCTAACTGAGCCAAGGCTTCACGGAAAAATTTTGAAGTGAAATTCGACCCTTGATCCGATTGAACTTCTCTTGGAAATCCAAAATGAGAGAAGAACTTAATCAGTGCTCTCACTATTAGGCGAGCATTAATCCTCCTGAGAGGAACTGCTTCCGGGTACCTGGTGACTGTGCCCATGATAGTGAACAGGAACTGGTTGCCCTGCCGAGTCTTGGGTAGCGGGCCGACACAGTCGATCACCAGACGTGAAAAGGGTTCGCCTGTTATTTGTATAGGGTTCAACGGCGCAGGTGGTGGATTATGTGCAGGTTTGCCTACTAGTTGACACACGGAACAGCTCCTTACATACCGTTCCACTTCTTCCTTCATTTTTGGCCATGTGAAGTGCTTAGCAATTTTTCTAAAAGTCTTCTTTTGTCCCAGATGTCCACCTTGAGGACTGTCATGAGCAAACTTACATGCTAAATTTCTAAACGGGGTAGGCAAGACCAGTAGATGATCACTTTTAAGAGATCCTAGTTTCTTTTTTCAGTAAGTCCTACTCCCAATAGTAAGAGCTGTCACTTTTAAGGGCTTCTTCTCCCAACACAGCAAGCTTCCTGAGGTCACTTAAGGAGGGGTCTATTCGGAGTTCTCTTACTAGATCCTCCTTCGAGAATAAATCTATTTTGGAAACCACCAACTTAGGAACTGGTATTGGTTCTGGGTGGATTGTTGGCTCGACACTCGAGCTTTCGTTGAATATGTCTCCTACTCCTACGTCGACGTCGTCCATGACTTCCTCCGATACCAATGGAGAACGCGACTCTTTGGTCATTGCCCGGGTTACTATGCTCAGAGGAAAGAGGGTAGGTTCCGTTCGTCGGGCTTCGATGACGTAATTTTCCTCGGTTGGATTTTCCATAACTATGGGCTCTTTCCATATTCCTTCTTCCGCTAAGTCGTTCATAATCAATAGGTCTACGTCTTTTATGGGGAAGTTAGTTGGAGACACTCCGATTGACGTCCAGCCTGTAAAAATAGGAGTTTCAACATATAACTTGTACAGGGGTACTCGCGTAGTGGAGCCACCATAAGCTTCCAACGGAGCGTCGAAACCCGTATATGATCCGGCGGGGAATGATAACAGTCCTTCTCTTAATAATGTTAAGTAGGACCCCGTATCCTAAAGGAATTATACTTGCAACAACTGGCTATCGGTAATTCCTACTTTGCTTTTGGAAAAGTAAGGACTCATAGCCCTTGACAAGTTTGACGATGATACCCATATTCTGCTTAGTCAACTAGGAGGATCTGTTAGTTTTCCTTGGGACAGAGCGTCTACTCTTGGCTCGGACTTCTTGGATTGAGTCGTAGAGGATATTATTTGTGTGGGCAATCTATAGGATGGACTCCTTCCCTGGTCCCTATCACGCTTAAAGCATTGTGATTTGAAATGTCCCAGCTTCGAACAGTACGAACATTTAATATTTTCCCATGACCTATCTGGTCTATAGGATGGGCTCGATTGAATTTGGTGTTTTACTTCGGGTTTACTTGTTACACGGGAGTGAACGGGTTGGGTAGGTCGCTTACCGAAAGGCTTTGCAGGTTCGGGTCTTGTTGCTGGTTTGATAACCTGGCTGCTTCCAGATTGTACCAACCTCTGGGAAATCTCAAAGTTGTCTGCCAGCGCGGCAGTCTCTAACAACGTCGTTTGCGGATGGCCAACAAGATACTGGCGAACTCCATCTGGAAAATTTGCATACAAATCTTCTAGTAACATTAATTGTGATAGATCTTTTAAAGTCGTGACCCGAGAAGCTCGACACGAACGTTCAAACGCCACTGCTTTCCCTCGGGCAAAATCTAAATAAGTTTGTCCTGTTTGCCGTTTCATGGAACGAAAAGCTATTTGGTAACTAATAGGGAGCATGTCATATGCTTCTAAAATAGTTCTCTTTACTACGTCGTACTGGACATAAAACTCGTATGGTAAGGAGGCGACACAAGACTGCGCCTTTCCATATAGAGACGTGTGCAGCAATGTGGCCCAATTGTGTTTGGGCCAGCCCATTGAACGTGCCTGATTCTCAAAAATTTCAAAGAATTCATCTAAGTCTGTTTCGTTAAACTTAGGTACCATCAGAGCTGCTTTATGTAAGTCAAACCCGGTTACAGTGCTCTTCACGTCTCTTTCTTCCGGAACTCCCTTCTGCTTTGTTTCAAAACGAAACCTTTCACGCCTAAATTCTTCCTCGTTTAGACGTCTTCTAGCTTCGATTTGAGAGTTTTGTAATAGTAATATGTGTTCTATTCTCTCTAGTTGTTCGGACGTGAAATTCCCAAGAGGTAATGACACCGAGGGGAATTCGGGCGTCTTCTCCGGAAGTATTTTGGGACGAGCACCAGTCCTAAAATTATCCCCGTCATTTGACTGAGGGTTCGTTCCAACCACCGATACATACTCCGGGGAAATGAACGGGGGAGAGCTTTGAGACTGGACTGAGTAGTAAGGCCTCGTAAACCCTGGCTCAACTTCATTATTTAAGGCAGTTCCCGTCCGTGGGATTTCTACTTCCTCGAACTGAGAAATAAAACTATCTTCCAAATCTAATTCTGGCATTGCTTGGGATTTCGGAAATAATCTATCCTTAATTAGGGACCTAAGAGTCTCAGCGCTATGGTATCTATTATAAGGTATATATAACTGTCGAGCTATTTGCCAACACGTCTGTAATTTTAAAGTGTCAAGAGTAGCCTCTGTTAATTCATCTAATAATGACTTAATTTCTGGATCCATTTTCTTAATTCTCGCAAGGGAGCTTAATTTTAATGCAAAACAAATATGTACTTCAGGGTAAGTAGCTCCCGGACAAACAACCCATTTGTTACGACTTAATCTTCACCGTAACAATAGGGGCACAAATAACTCCATTTTTTTTTTTTTTTGTTAGTTTTATTTTATTACCAATCATTTAGTTTCATTGGTATTTGGTTAGTGAATTAAAATAACCACAAGCAATTATAAATGAAATACTATACAGCAAGAAACCCAATCTTACGTTCAAATTCTCATTAACAGAGTATGATACAATAATTTCAATTAATAATCTACTAATCTCACCATTTAACTCTTTTAGAAAGGTCTAGGGTAACGAAATAGTTATCTTTCATAAGTGACATGAATTACCAGACTTCAGGAAACTAATGGCAAAGGCAAGACAATAGACTTGGTATAAAGTTTTAGTTTAAGCTAGGAGCTTTGTGTTGAAGACCCGTACCGAGTCAGAGCTAGGAGCTGACTGACTCACTCTACTCCATAGTATGACTTCAGCTCGGCCAGAAGGCGACATGTGGCGTCAATTCTAGAACCACCAATTGGTCACTACAGTAGTGGTTACACATTCGTAATACCTAGCCTAATAATAATATAATATAATATTATAATTATAATAATCATGGGGAAAGATATAATATAATACAATATAATACAATGAGAGTACTGTTGATGATTCATACCGTACCCGATAATAATATATAGTCGAACCTGCTTTATCTAGCTAGTAATAAAGTGGTTCGTGATATATTATTACAGAACTTATTTTAACCAGGCCTTTTATTTTTGTATATAATGGAATGAAGTAGGGGCGCGTAACAGTCCTCTTTGGCATTTTCTTCCAAAAGAGGCCTGTTTCGTCACAATTTAACACTTGTTCAGGTTTCAGTCCTTCAGCCTCTACGTACTCCTTGAATTCAAGCACATATTTTTCAGCCGCCTTGTGGTCCGAACTGGCAGCCTCACCATGCCTTACCACACTGTGTATGCCAGTACGGTTCTTAAATCTCTCAAACCAACCTTTGCTGGCCTTAAATTCACTCACTTCACCACTATTTGCAGGCAATTTCTTTACCAAATCTTCATGCAACTGCCTAGCCTTTTCACAAATAATCGAAGTCATAAGAGTATCTCCTGCTAATTGTTTCTCATTTATCCACACCAATAATAGCTTCGCAATCTCTACGAGTACTGGTGATCTCATTTTTGTCAGCATAGTTACCCCCTTTGCAACAACAGCGTATAAACAGCCCATGCTTATACGAAAATATCCCTATGATTTCCGAAATCTATGATTCCCGAGAACTACGAAAAGCGAGGGACCACTGTATTCTCATTTTCTTGGTCTCATTTGATAGAATGGAAGATACTATTTTACAGAAATTGAGGTGATTTTGATTGGTTTCAAGATAAAAAGTATCTTGAAATTGAGCTCAAAGTAGCAGAAATGTTTGATTTTTGCCAATGTTCAAGAGTAAACAAATTATGCCACGCATCCGATACACATCAACTGGTAAGTACACTTATGTTATTTATACCATTTTTACAAAAATGCAGTAGTCTGCATAACAGTAATTCTTGTGTTTTATGTGAGAATAAAAATTCAAAATGGAAAGCAAGAGTAATATAAAAGTGGCTTGGAGGTGTGACTGATGAACAGAGAAAATGTTATTTTAGTGCCAGGAATGTCATCTTGTTTATTCTGGACCCTCTTCTGAAATTGGCATAGTTTGAAATTTGTGTGAAATTGACCAAATTGCCAATGTCTGACCACTTTATTGGGTAGTTGAAATCAGTAAATGG